AGAGAGAGAAATGTCAATGATGAGAGAGAATCATTGATTGGCTGCCTCCCGCAGGCCCTGACTGGGAATTGAACCATGACCTTCTGGTTCATAGGTCAACACCCAACCACTGAACCATGCTGTCCGGGCTGATCTTCTGATTTTTAATGGAAGCCAGAAATTGGAATTTTTATATTAATAATAAGCCTCCCAATATTTAAATGTTGGCTTCTAATCAAAACAGGCAGACTGTGTAGCAGCACTCTCAGTGGAACTTTCTATGCTGTTTATACTGTTGAGTATCTGCACTGTCCAGTGGCCATGGGCTATTGAGTACTTGAACTAGTACTTGTGACTAGGGTACCTGAGGAATGGAATTTGTAAGTTTGTATTATTTTAATTAATTTAAATAGCTACATGTGTCTCCTGGGCCCTGAATTGGACAGCATTTATTATTTAAGAGTATGAATTCCAGCCTGTCGGAGTTGAAATCCCTTTCAATCCCAGGTTTCGGCACCAAAAAAACAAACAAAAAAATCCCAACTCTACCACTTCCTATGTGATGTTGAGCAAGTTACTTCATTCTCAGTGCCTCAGTTTCCACATTTATAAAAGAATAATAATGGTACCTACCCCACAGTAGGTTTGAGGGCTGAATTAGGCACTCTGTGTAGGCACTCAAATAGTAGTTGTGAATTTTGGGCAAGGCACTGTTCTGCCTCAGTTTCCTCATCTGTAAAATGGAGTTAACGATAGGACCTATCTTACTAGAGTGGTTATGTGGGTTAATGGGACAATTCCTATTCAAACTATATGTATACTCACATGGGGCTTGTTACCAGGCCATACTGGTTATTCACAGATTGAAATAACCTGTACGTTTTGGCAGCCTCTCCAGCCGGCATTTAGTGCTAGTACCAGTTAAATGTTTTAAAAAGACCTTCTCTGGTGGTGTTTATAGTAATTAAAATGTATTTGAAACTGTGTGGGCCAGGTTGAACTTCTGAACCCTCGATTTTTAAAGAAGCACACAGATGTCTACTAAGAATTAAGATATGTACCCCACAACCCTAAGTGTACTGTCTATAATGCAGGGAATGGTTTCTTGGTATCCCTAGGACCTCTGCGGGATTGAGGGAGGGGCTGCAGGGTTTTTTTGCACATATCTTTGAGAATTGGAGACTGTCTTAACCAAAAGCAAAGGTGGAGACTGAGGCTTATGTGTTTGGGCAATGTGACCCTGGAGAGTGAGTGGAGGACAGAGGAAGAGCCACCACAAGTGTGTGTTTGCCTACCACATGGGTGACACAGTCCCACAGAACCTGAGGAGCCTTTTGAAATGTAACTCAGATCTGTCTACCCACATGGAATGAAAGAAGGAAGTGTGTTTGCCAATTGGCCCCTGTCTGCCAGTGGTCGAGTAGCCTCTGGGGATTAAGGCTCTGGCACTGGCTGGCGCATGCTTCAGTGCCCAGTGGACCCCCTAGGCCTCTCCCCAATCTTGGTGCTGGCTGGGGTATGGTTCTGTCTGTGAGGCCACACCTGCTCAAGGCTGGAGGGCAAGAGGGGAGGAGAGGTGTAGACTTAGGCACAGGTGGCTTCTGAGACTGCTTACGTTACATGGCCTAGGACAGTGATGGTGAACCTATGACACGTGTCAGAGGTGACACGCGAACTCATTCTTTTGGTTGATTTTTCTTTGTTAAATGGCATCTAAATATATAAAATAAATATCAAAAATATAAGTCTTTGTTTTAGTATGGTTGCAAATATCAAAACATTTCTTTATGTGACACGGCACCAGAGTTAAGTTAGGGTTTTTCAAAATGCTGACACGCCGAGCTCAAAAGGTTTGCCATCACTGGCCTAGGATGTTTTCCTTAAATGCTCTAGGGCTGCATCATGGCACATCTGAAGGGCAGGATTGGGTTAGTGTTAAGGCATAACCCCAACAGGGTCTGAATTCCCATGTCATACCATTCACAAGCCTATGATCCTGGACAAGGTCTCAGGCTTCTCACTTGCCTCGTAAGAGGTTAATAACGCCTCCATCATTCATTCATTCACTGTTTCCTAAGCACCAACTGCCAGACCTCGTTCCAGAAGCTAGAGCGCATCAGTGAACAAATTAAATTCTGACCTGGTGGAACTGATAATCTCATGGAGAAGACAGACAATGGTTAGATATTTCTTGGGGTAATAAATGGATTAAGAAAAACAGCCCTGGCTGGTGTGGCTCAGTTGGTTGGGTATCGTTCCATGCACGGAAGGGTTGCTGGTTCAATTCCCCATTAGGGCCTGGGTTGCAGGCTCAATCTCTGGTGGTGGTGGGGGCATGCAGGAGACAGCCGATCAATGTTTCTCTCCCTTCATCTCTAAAAATTAAATGATTCTTAAAAGAAAAGAAAAACTATGGTGAGAAGGAATGTTTTGGGGTCTTGGGCTGCTTTTTTACATGGGCTAGAATAGTCTTGGAAGGACTTGGGATAGTGTATTTGAGCTGAGACCAAAATGAGGAAAGCCATGGAGATACCCTGAGTGTGCCATGCATGGCCACCTTATGGTCTTTGCACTTGTTGTTCTGCCATGAATGTTTCTTCCCCCAGATTAGTGGTCGGCAAACTGGCTCGCAAGTCATATGCGGCTCTTTGGCCCCTTGAGTTGTGGCTCTTCCACAAAATACTGACTTCTGCGCATGGGCCACGAAGTTTCAATCGCACTGTACATGCACACCCGCACATGGTATTTCATGGAAGAGTCACACTCAAGGGGCCAAAGAGCCACGTGTGGCTTGCGAGCCACAGTTTGCCAACCACTGCCCCAGATCCATATGGCTTACTCCCCTCCTTTAGATCTTTGCTCACATGTCACCTCAGCATGACATTCTGTGGGCACTTAAGGAAAAGTCTTGAATAGCCAAAAAGACACTTAGAAATCCCTTAAAGTACTTCACACAGACGTGAGAGGATTCATGTGCAACACTGTCATGCCTGGCACAGACCTCAATAAAGGCTGGCTATTTTTACATGTTTAAAATTTTGGAGAAATCAGACCTGGAATCTGTTACCCTCCCAAGTTATTATCCAGGGCAGGAATTTGCCTTCTCTCACTGCTGGTTCTAATGGTTGTCCAAATTCCATTTGATGAGAAGCTCCCTCCACCTACCCCAGTACAGGGCCCAATTTGCTTCCCAGTAATTGGTCCATGAGGCCTGGCACTACACGGGCCACAGAACCTGTTTGAGTAGTGGGGATGTGGAAAGGAGGGCCTCAAATGTTAATCTTGAAGTATTTTAAAGGCACTGGGGAACCATGGCAGATTCTACACAGGAGAGTGACGGTGTGTGCTGAGAGACCCCAGAGGTCAGGATGGGATAGAGCAGCACTTCTCAACCTGTGGGTCGCGACCCCTTTGGGGGTCGAACGACCCTTTCACAGGCATCGCCTAAGACCATCAGAAAACACATATATAATTACATATTGTTTTTGTGATTAATCACTATGCTTTAATTATGTTCAGTTTGTAACAATGAAAATATCAGATATTTACGATTCATAACAGTAGCAAAATTACAGTTATGAAGTAGCAATGAAAATAATTTTATGGTTGGGGGTCACCACAACATGAGGAACTGTATTAAAGGGTTGCGGCATTAGGAAGGTTGAGAACCACTGGGATAGAGGAATTACAGGAAGCTGGGAACTCAGAGGAGGTGCCTGACCTTGGAATGTTAGGGAAGGCGTCCCACAGGAGGTAAACTTTGGTGAGAATATAACAAAGGGAAGGAAAACCTGTGCAGAGGAACCTAGGATGTTCCATACAATTTGATTATGGCTGTCTACCCAAAACTCAAGTCCTCAGGATTAAAAAAAACCCTCTGGGTTGAATTATTTCAGTCATTAAAATTTATTAAGAACTTATTGTCTGCCTGACTGCTGGGCTATGCTTTACTCACTCTATCTTCATTTTAAAAGAAAAAAACATATAAATTGAACCTGTATTTTCTACTATAATTATTAGCCTCTAAGTATTAAAATTTTTATGTTGGGGGGAAAACGTTTACTCCACCTAAAGGGCTTTGCTCAGCACCTGGCACAGAGTGAGTGGGCTGGAACACCTGCTCCTGGAATACTAATGGATTTCTGGAGGGCCCTGGGGTACCCCCCCCCCAACAAACAAAAACACACACACCCCATTCATCCTGGAGTGAGGGATAGGGCCTTTGATGTGAAGATGGAATTTCCTGCCCATTTGCTCCTCACACCTTCCGGAGGCCAAACGGGCAACCCAGCTGTAGCCCAAAGGGGGAGGGGCGCGGGGGCCGGCAGATGGCGGTATTTACATACAGCTGGGAGTCCCCCCTGAGACCAGGGCTCCTTGCCTGGCGTCTGCTGCATCCATGATGTGGGTTTGGGAGGATGGCTTTGTCTTGGGGAGGGGAAAACACAGCCACAAAGAACCCCGGGTCTTCATCACATCCACATGAGGCTATGCCCATGGACCTCCCACACAAGCCTCTGCACGACCTTGTACAGACCCTCTCCCACCCGCTCCACACGGCTGCCTAGAGGCACCTGCACAGACCACAGGTCCATATCCACAACACCCCCTGGTCCAGTATCTCACATACACTCTTACACATGCACAGAGGTGCAGCCACACATTCTCAGTCACACAATCATGAAGTCACATACACCTCCATTCTCTTCTTATGTAGATGCTGGCGCGCGTGCCTGTGCACACACACATTGAATCTTAGAATTATTTACAGCCTCACAAACAGGCTTGACATACAATTTGAGACACGTGGAGCCACCTAAGCTCACCTAGACACACTATCACAAAGTCATGGATACCCTCCAGTAGCTCTTGTACACATTCACATTCACGTAATCTTACCATATACAGTCCCCTAAACCTACCCCATCCTTAGCCACACACATACACCCTCACTACATTGCCTGTACCCACCAGACAAACTTACGGTTGTTCCAGCATGCTCCCCTTCCCCTCGACCTCCTCCCCTCGGGCCCCCTCGAGCCCCGTAGCGCTTGAAGGGGCGGAGCCGTCTCCTCAAATATAAGGCTCCGGAGCCAGCAGCTGCGGCTCCTCAGACCTCCAAAAGGCCATGGTCTGCCCGTGGATGCCTCAACTCCTGTCGCGGGCGGTGATCCTGGCGCTCTTTTTCCTTCCCCAGGTGAGAGCGGAGTGGAAAGGGATGGATGGGAGGGGGCGAGAACCGGAGGTCTTGGGGAAGGGGTGCAGGGCGAACAGGACACCCGAATACCCGCGGTCCCGTCACCCTGTGCCCCTTAACGCTCCAGGCACGGCCGGCAGGCGTTTTCGAGCTTCAGATTCACTCTTTCCGGCCGGGACCAGGTCCAGGGGCCCCCAGGTCTCCCTGCAGTGCCGGGGGCCCCTGCCGCCTCTTCTTCAGAGTCTGCCTGAAGCCAGGGATCCCAGAGGAGGCGGCGGAGTCTCCGTGCGCTGTGGGCGCTGCGCTGAGTGCGCGTGGACCGGTCTACACCAAACTGTCCCGGGCTCCAGCTCCTGACTTGCCGCTGCCCGACAGCCTGATGCGCGTGCCCTTCCGGGACGCCTGGCCGGTGAGACCCTGCCCCGGGGGCACCCTCGTGCTGGAGTCCTTACCCAAACCTTGACCCCTTTCTGTCCTCCAACTTCCAAGGCCCCAACCCTCCCCCTCATTCCAAATTCCCAGACCAGTAAGTCTACCATCTGGAAAAACCCTTTCTCAGACTCATAAACCCGACTTACTGACGATCCCAACTTTTCTGACTCTAATTTGCCCTCTAGGTATACAAAATGTTATAATCCCAGCCCTGCATGCTTGGGACCCCGAATTCCCGCCCCCACCCCCCACCCCAACTCAACTGGAAAGAATAAATGCACAGAACTTTGCCTCTGTTCCCTGGGGATCTCTAAATGCTGGGATTCTTATCTTTACCTCCAGTTTCCTTGCACCTAGGGACCCTCACACCCTGTCTTGGGGACCCCCCCCCAACTCGTCTCACTTTATCCTTTCTCAGATATTCCAATTGGGACCCGTGTTCATGACTCTTTCACCTCCAAAATCCTCTCTCCCATCCCACAACCCCAAAAGCACAGAGGTGAACAAACCTGTATTTGAAGTCTAAGACCCTTGTTCTTTTGGGCAAGTGACTTTTTCTTTTCTATCCTCAGTTTCCTCATCTGTAAAATGGGACATCATGGTACCTCACAAGGGTCCCTGTTGAGGGGATTCAACCAGGTTATCTTAAATATAGTCCTCACCACTTACTAAATGCTCAATAAAGGAAGCCAAAACTGCCATTTCTTCCCTGAGCCAGTCCCTCTGGAAGCTGTCCGTTGCCTGCCTGGTGCCTGGAATGGTCATTACCCCTAAACCCTGGCCTTCATCAAGTACTCACCCTGCCCACTGTTTTTCATTCTTTCCTCTCACCCTTCCAGGGCACCTTCTCTCTCATCATTGAAACCTGGAGAGAAGAGTTAGGAGAGCAGGTTGGAGGTGAGTGTCTTCAGTCTTGGGACTACTGTGTAGAATGTGGGAATTGGGGTCCAACGTGAGTGACATGGGCTGTCTGCAGGGTGGTTTTCACAGGATTGCTGGACCCATGATGTCATCACAGCTCTTGGAGGGTGGTGCTGGGTGTTGACAGCTTCAGGGCTCTTGCCATGTCCATACAGAAATGTCCTGGCACTGGATGTAGGAGTCTGTGGTCCCAATAGTGAAAGATAGGAACACTTACTATCTTGGAATTAAAGCCACCAGAGCAGGATAGAGCAGCTCACAGTGACAGTACTGCTCTGCCACCATTTGATTTTGAGAACCAAGGGTATATCACTTTTGGTTCTTGTACACAAAACTCTGTCACTGTGTCCATATAGAGGTCCCAGGGAGCATGGGATGCTGCGGTTTTATCAGAATATTGAGCAAAGGTTTCAGGGAGGGATATAGGTGATCTTATCCTTAATTCGAGGGGATTTTGGTGTCATGTAAAGCCCATGTGGGTGTTGTCATCATTTAAAAAATATTTTTTTTTTATTGATTTCAGAGGGGAAGGGAGAGGGAGACATAGAAACATCAATGATGATGAGAGAGAATCATTGATCAGCTGCATGTCCTCTACTAGGGATCGAGCCCACAACCCAGGCATGTGCCCTTGACCAGAATTGAACCCGGGATCATTCAGTCTGCAGGCTGACACTCTAGCCACTGAGCCAAACCAGCTGTCATCATTTTGATACAGAAAGCTGTGGCACAATATTGGAGTGTGACAGCCTTGATGAGGAGAAACTGCTACTCTCCCAGTATTTCCAAGGACTAAAGCAATAAGGGTAATTTATGATTTAGTAATTGGGGTCTCTGTCACCATTTTCACATAGGAAGATCCAGAGGCACAATTTGGGGATATTATGACCTCACTTCAAAAGGCCCGTTATTTTCCCTTGGCCATATAGCGATATAAATGCCACAGGGTGTTAGAGGTCTCATCACTAAAATACAAAGATTGTGGGGCAGCACTAGCCGGTTTGGCTCAGTGGACAGAACCTTGACTTGCGCACCAAAGGGTCCCGGGTTCGATTCTGGTCAAGGGCACATGCCTAGCTTTGGTTGCAGGCTCCTTCTCAGCCCTGGCCCTGGTCAGGGTGCATGCAGGAGGCCACCAATCGATGTATTTCTCTCACATCAGTGTTTCTCTCTGTCTTTCCCTCTCGCTTCCACTCTCTCTAAAAAACAACAAACAAACCCAATGGGAAAAATAGTGAGGATTAACCACAAACAAACAAAAGACACACACGCACACACACAGATCATGGTGCAAAACATTGGGGTATTTTGGCTTCTATGAAAGAGCTGTGATCATAGTGATGGTCACTGGACACTGGATGGGACTGTGCCTTCAGGGGTCTCAGGGCGCAGTAGGAGGTTCACCGCGCTGCTAAGGGGTAACTGCCATTCTCAGGGTTGGAATGGGGTGTTCGGCCTCGCTAAGAGGGGCAGGAAGAGTGCGAGCAGGCGCCCTACGGCTCTATCGCGAGACTGAGTGCGCCGCCATCTGGCCGGGCGATCCAGCGTCGCTCCCTTCTTCCCGCAGGGCCCGCCTGGAGTCTGCTGGCGCGTGTGGCCGGCCGGCGCCGCCTGGCGGCCGGGGGCCCCTGGGCTCGGGACGTGCAGCGCGCCGGCGCCTGGGAGCTGCGCTTCTCTTACCGAGCGCGCTGCGAGCCGCCGGCCGTCGGGGCCGCGTGCGCGCGCCTCTGCCGCTCGCGCAGTGCCTCCTCGCGGTGCAGCCCGGGACTGCGCCCCTGCGCGCCGGTGGAGGACGAGTGCGAGGCGCAGCGTGAGTCCTGAGTTCTGCCCCAACTCTTTTCCGGCCCTTCTTTAGCGCCACTCGCCGCCCCTAGGTCCCTTTTGCAACCCAGTTGCCTTCTTCAGGGAACTGGGGACTGGAGAACCCTCACCAGGTACCCCAGAACCCCACTCCGGGAAGCTAGGGAATGCCACTAACTGCTGCCCAGGCCCCACTCTAGTTTCACTCGTGGGCCTTAGCTCCCTCCCATGATCCAGCTACCTGCTTCAGGAAGACTGAGGACGTTGGACTACTCTCCAGTCCTGCCTTGGCACTCCAGGCCCCTTTCCTCTTCCTAGCATTCTTTTTGCCCCAAAAGAAACCCCACACACATTTCCCATGCTGGTACCCCCCTTCCTCCCCTAATCCGCACCCATTTCCAGATGCTAGGACCAACAGAGCTCTTCCAATTCTGGGGCCCTCCCTACCCCCACCCAGGCGCTTTGGAAACCCCTTGGAGTTCCCCTTCGCCCCCTAAAGGATCCTTCATCCTCCCTCCCTGCAAATGCAGGCCAGACCCCATTGCCTTCTAAAGCTTGGGATCCCCGACCTCCATCCTGGGAATCCTCAGATAGACATTGGGAATCCCAAATGTCTGAGCCCCACCAAAGCTCCTAGGACTCCTAGGCTAATCCAGCTCTTCCCAGACCTGCTCTAATCCAAGACCCTCCCATTTCCCATAAAAAGCCAGGGTCCCTCCCCAACCCCCAGATTCCCTTCCCTCATTCTCCCCTTTCTAAGCTCAGACCTGTGAGCACCACCATTCTTCATCCCCCAGCACAGACTCTGGAGCCGGTGGCCTGTGTTCTGCTCCCACTCTTTCACTTTCTAGCTGGGCGAGTCATTCCACCTCTCTAGGCACCAGTTTCCCTGTCTGTTAACTAGGGGTTACAATACCATGTAGCCCAGAGGGTTGTGTCACAAGGACGAAACAAGATGGTGCACAGAGAGCCCTTAGAAACAACTTTGCCCTCATCAATATTCCTTTTCCCTCTGCCTCTCTGTCCCCCATAGCGGCATGTCGAGCCGGCTGCAGCCCAGAGCATGGCTTCTGTGAGCAGCCTGATGAATGCCAATGCCTGGAAGGCTGGACTGGGCCCCTCTGCACAGTCCCTGTCTCCAGCAGCACCTGTCTCAGCTCCAGGGGCCCGTTCTCTGCTGTCACTGGATGCCTCATGCCTGGTCCTGGGCCTTGTGATGGGAATCCATGTGCCAACGGGGGCAGCTGTAGTGTTAGTATCACCCCCTCCCACCTCTTCCTGATAAGTAACCCTGGGAGTTCCCACCATCCCCTGACGGGCTCCATGAGACAACACCTGGGGAAGGCTGGGGTAGCTATCAGGGGAGGGCTTCTAGAGCTGTCCAGTCTGCATCTAGGATGGGGTGCTAGGAATGGGATTGGGGAGAGTAGACCCCGTAGATGGCAACTTAGGGTGTAGTGTGGGAATGATGAGTCCTGAGGGGCCACAAACTGTCCTTCCTGTGGGACAGAGAACAACTCTGGACTCAAGGTGTGGAGTGGTGGGACCAGATAGCGTGGGGACTTGGGGTGGGGGCATATCGGAGAGGGCTTCCTGGAGATGAGCCCAGGGCTGGGGCTTCTGAAATCCAATTTGGCTGAGGGGAGGTGACTGCAGAGGGTAGACCAGGTAAGTGGCCTGGGGTAAGCAAAGGTGTGGCTGTGGGAGTGAGCCTGGTGTGTGCTGGGATAATGTGGACCCCTGGACACTACCAGCATGGAACAGGGAGACATACTCAGGGTTCAAGTTAGGGGAAGGGCCTTCTAAGAGGAGATCTAAGGAAGGATCCATGGAGGAGGGTGGCTCAGAGCTAGGAGCTCAAGATTGGCTATGCAGACAGAATTGGGGAGGGCAGACTAGGCAGGCAGCATTTGGTAGGCAAAGGAGTAGAGGTGGGAATGGGCTCTCTCAGGGCCTTCAGAGCCTCTTCCCTGTGGGGTGGATGGGCAGACCCAGAAACATAGAGTAGAGGGAGGGGTTGTCTTGGGAGGGCTTTCTAGGTGAGGACCCTGCATGCTGGGAGGTGAGTCCTGACAAGGAGCAGCCCCCAGGGTTAAGACTAAGGAAGGGGATGGGATTTTGCTCCAAGGAGACCTCAATCTAAAGTCCTCTTGCCCCTACCCAGGAGACACCCGGATCCTTCGAATGTGCCTGTCCCCGTGGGTTTTATGGGTTGCAATGTGAGGTGAGTGGGGTGACATGTGCGGATGGACCTTGTTTCAATGGTGGCTTGTGTGTGGGAGGTACAGACCCGGATTCTGCCTACATCTGCCACTGCCCACCTGGTTTCCAAGGCTCCAACTGTGAGAAGAGGGTCGACCGGTGCAGCCTGCAGCCATGCCAAAACGGTGAGGTGGGGAGACCAGAACATCAGGGATGAGGGTGAGGGTCACTGCATGGTCAGTGTGCAAGAGCAGGGCTTGGTTCAGACAGTCCCGGGTGAGAACCCTGCCTTTGCCTTCTTTAGCCCCAGGGCCTGGAGAAGTGCCCCTCTTCCCAGCCTCAGTTTGTTCTTTTGTCAAATGGGTCAGGTAATATTCCTATCTCATAAATATTTATTGAGCATCTACAATGTGCTAGACTTTGTTCTAGGCCAGTGATGGCGAACCTTTTGAGCTCGGCGTGTCAGCATTTTGAAAAACCCTAACTTAACTCTGGTGCCGTGTCACATATTTATATTTTTGATATTTATTTTATATATTTAAATGCCATTTAACAAAGAGAAATCAACCCAAAAAATGAGTTCGCGTGTCACCTCTGACACGCGTGTCATAGGTTCACCATCACTGTTCTAGGCACTGGGAATGAAACCAAAGCCCCTGCCCTCATAGAGCTGATGGGGCAAATAAACAAGATAAATAAGTAAATGTGTGCAAGGTTAGATGGTGATAAAAATGAGAAAAATAAAGCCAGAAAGGGAATGGGTAGTATATATGGGGTGGAGGCCGGTTGACATTTTAGCTAGAATGGTTAGGGAAGACCTTGCTGAAGGTAGTGAGGAAGGGAGCAATGTGGGATCTGGGGAAAGATTATGTTCCAGGCAGAGGGAACAGCAAGTTGTAAAGGCCCTGAGTTAGGAATGTGCCAGGTGTGTTGAGGATCTCAGGGAAGCCAGTGTGGTTGAAGCAGTGAGTGAGAGATGAGGTCAGGGAGGTGACCAGGACAGATCCTATGGAATTTCCTGGGCCACGGGGGAGGATTCTGGTTTCATCCAGAAAAAGAGCCACAGGAGATGTCTGAGTAGTGGAGAGACCTGATTTGAACTAGGTGCTTAAAGTTTTAATATGAATGTAAAGAGCTTGATGCATTTTTATTATAACTAATTCTCACCAAAACACTGAGTATTCATTCATTCTGGGCTGTGTGATACTAGGGACACAGCAGTGACCAGGACAGCTCTGGGCCCTGCCTTCATGAGGGTATCAGTCCAAAGGGGAAGACAGAGAAGAGTCATCCTCAGCTACAGCTCAGAGTAGTCATGGGGAGTGCAGGATGGGGATGAAGGGAGATTCCCGGAGGGCTTCCTGGAGGAGGAGACACCTGCGCACAGACCTGAAGGTAGAGCCCTGGAGGAGAAACCTGAAAAGAAGGAAGGGAAAAGGGCCAGGTGGTTCAGACCCATCGTTCTGGCCGATAGAAAAAGAGAGACACAGGCAGCCGACAAGGTGAGGCTCAGTTAATCCAAGATTTCACCAGAGGGCAAGAAGCTCCAAGCACACTCCTAGCGGCTGGCCCTGGAGTTAGATGGGGAGACACAGGGAAACCAGAGAAAAGGTGCGGGTGGGGCTTACTGGGCTGAGAAACTACCGGGCGGTTGGGGGAGACCCTCTCCCGGGCTGCGCCCCTCACGCCCCTCCTCCACAGGCGGGCTCTGCCTGGACCTCGGCCACGCCCTGCGCTGCAGCTGCCGCGCCGGCTTCGCGGGGCCACGCTGCGAGCACGACCTGGACGACTGCGCCGGCCGCGCCTGCGCCAACGGCGGCACGTGTCTGGAAGGCAGCGGCGCGCGCCGCTGCTCCTGCGCGCTCGGCTTCGGCGGTCGCGACTGCAGCGAGCGCGCCGACCCCTGCGCCGCGCGGCCCTGCGCCCACGGCGGCCGCTGCTACGCCCACTTCTCCGGCCTGGTCTGCGCCTGCGCGCCCGGCTACATGGGCGCGCGCTGCGAGTTTCCCGTTAACTCCAACGGCGCGGACGACGACGGCGACAGCGTAGGCGCCTTGCCCGCGGCCCCGCGGGGCCTGAGGCAGGGTGGCCCGCAGCGCTTCCTTTTGCCGCCGGCCTTGGGGCTGCTGGTGGCTGCAGGTTTGGCCGGCGCTGCGCTCTTGCTGGTCCATGTGCGACGCTGTGGCCCTGGCCGCGGTACTGGGTCTCGCTTGCTGGCGGGTACCCCGGATCCATCCGTCTTTGCGCTCCCAGATGCACTCAACAACCTGAGGACGCAGGAGAGGCCCGGGGATGACCCGAGGTGAGCGGCTGGGCCACACGGGATGCCTGTTCCTCTGGGCAGCTGGCGTCCATCTCCATTGTGCGATTGGCTTGATTCCTTGATGGGCCTTCCCGGCTCCAGCCCTTGTCTGATTGGGTCAGCTCACAGTTCCCCTGTTGGCTTTGGGTTCCCCTCCGTGGTGGGTGAGGAAAACAAGATGTGAGAATTTAAAGAGCCTAGGTCTTTTTTTGTTTGTTTTTGTTTATTTTTTATTTTTTGTTTTGTTCTGTTTTTCCTGGCAGCCCGTCAGTAGATTGGAATCGCCCCGAAGATGGAGACTCTAGTGAGATTTACGTCTTATCTGCTCCTTCGGTCTATGCTGGGGAGGTAGCTACCCCTTTACTCCCTTTGCAAACATTGCCCAGGCTGGGTGGGGGCAGCCCACACTTTGCCTGTAGCTCTCCTTCACCCTGTCTACAAATAAGGAGAGAGTCTTTGGAAGGTCCGGAACCCACTTTTCAGTTCTGACTCAGTTTAGTTCGTGCTGCCCTTTTGAGCTGCTTGCTACCTTCTCTTTGGAAGATCTGTGGGCTTGAAGAGGTCACAGTGGGGAGCCTCAGGCAGACTTCTCCACTGATTTCCCCTCACTGGGGAGAGGGAGAGGAGCAGGACAGTCCTTTCTAATGCCTCATACTGATTTTGTTTCTAGGCCTGACCTGCTCCTTCTCCATCAGCGCCGGGAGACAGAGCCTGGGTATTTTTGTATTTACTTGATGGTGCCCAACCAATCTCCGCCTGACACTTCAGAGTTCAACCTGGAAGGGGTGGCTGGGAGGATTTTACAGCTGGAAGTACATAATGGTTATTTATATCATTGAGTTTTTTTCTTTCCACTTCTCCAGAGACTTCTGACTCTTACTTTGATCAGCTTTGATGCATCAGATTTTGTGTTTTGTATCTGACACATTTCTGGGCCCTATGGGAAAGGAAATAGTAGACCATGTGCTGAGGCTCCTAACACTTCTGCTCACATTTTATTGAGTGAAGGAAGTCACATGGTTAAGCTTGGTATCTATGGGGCAGTAATTAAATCCTCCTGTGAGGGAGGGAAGTGAATAGTTTGAATGGAATAGAGTCTGCCATAGATATATCCCCAGGAGAGAGATTGCCTGGTTATAGGTCACAGCTACCAATTTCACCAAGTATTCACAGATTGCTTCCTCAGTCCACACTCCCACCATGATGTACAAGAATTCCTGGGGAGACTGTCTTTTCTCTGTGTATACCTTTGTTCTATTCCAGGGGTTCTCAAACTACGGCCCGCGGGCCACATGCAAATACAAATATTGTATTTGTTCCCGTTTTTTTTTTTTTTTAAATATATTTTATTGATTTTTTACAGAGAGGAAGGGAGAGAGAGAGTCAGAAACATCGATGAGAGAGAAACATCGATCAGCCGCCTCCTGCACATCTCCCACCGGGGATGTGCCCGCAACCCAGGCACATGCCTTGACCGGAATCGAACCTGGGACCCCTCAGTCCGCAGGTCGACGCTCTATCCACTGAGCCAAACCGGTTTCGGCGCGTTTTGTTTTTTTACTTCAAAATAAGATATGTGCAGTGTGCATAGGAATTTGTTCATAGTTTTTTTTAAACTATAGTCCAGCCCTCCAACGGTCTGAGGGACAGTGAATTGGCCCCTGTTTTAAAAGTTTGAGGACCCCTGTTCTATTCTATTTAAAAAGTTTCCCCATGTATACATATTATTGTTTTGGAAAACCTCAGAAAGGATCCCCTGTGACATCACCAGTTAACAACTTTTTCTTTCTTACTGGTATCAGATAGAATAGCAGACTGATTCCTTCTGTTGTCCCTAAGGGAGGTGCACTAAGATCTGCTCAGATTAAAAATTTTGGTTATTGGCAATTTGATACCATTCAACTGAATACTAATTAACAGGAAATTCAGGGGATACAGGATGTTTTATGATACAGTGGGGATGAGCAAAATCCAGACGGGATTCTATGGGATACATGGTTGGCTTCTTCAAGAAATAATTAGCATTTCACTTCCTATCCATTAGAATGACTGTAATCACAATGACAGACAAAAACAAGGGTTGGCAAGGATTTGGAAAAAAGGAGACTGTCAGACACTGCTGGTAGAATGTACAATGGTGAAGCCCCTTAGAAAACAGTTTGGCAGTTTTTACAAAAAATTAGACATACCCTAGCTGGTTTGGCTCTGTGGATAGAGCGTCAGCCTGCAGACCGAAGGGGGTTGATTCTGGTCAAGGGCACGTACCTCAGTTGCAGGCTCCTCCCCAGCCTGGTCAGGGTGTATGCAGGAGGTAACCAATCGATGTGTTTCTTTCACATTGATATTTCTCTGTTTCCCACTCTATTCCATTCTCTCTAAAAATCAATGGAAAAATATCCTTGAGTGAGGATTGAAAAAAAAAAATTAAACATAGAATTACCGTATTACCAGCACCTTTACTTCTAGGTATCTACCCAAGAGGAAAAAATGTATATATATACAAAAACTTGGATGTACATGTTCACAGCAGCATTATTCAGAATTGCCAAAATGTGGAAACCACCCAAGTAGCTATCAACTGATGAGTAGATAAACAGAATATAGTCTATCTCTACAGTGGAATATTATTCAGCCATAAAAAGGAATGAAGTACCATACATGCTACCTCATACAAACACACTAAATACAAGGTGCTGGTCACATGATTCCATTTACTTATTTTTTATTTTAATTTTTTTAATTTTTGAAAATATATTTTTACTGATTTCAGAGAGGAAGAGAGAGGGACAGAGAGCTAGAAACATCAATGATGAGAATCATTGATCGGCTGCTTCCTGTACACTCCTACTGGAGATCGAGCCCGCAACCTGGGCATGTGCCCTTGACCTGGGACCCTTCAGTCCATAGGCCTATGCTCTCCACTAAGCAAAATTGGCTAGGGCACATGATTCCATTTATATGAAACTAGAGGCCCGGTGCATGAAATTTGTGTACTGGGTGGGTGTGTGTGGGGGTCCCTTAGCTAAGATTTGTAAACAGCCCAAGTGCCCATCAGTAGATGAATGGATAAGAAGGCTGTGGGAGCCCTAGCCAGTTTTGCTCAATGGATAGAGCATCGGCCTGGGGACTGAAGGGTCTCAGATTCTATTCCAGTCAAGGTCACATGCTTGGGTTGCAGGCTCAATCCTCAGTGGAGGTGTGCAGGAGGCAGTCGATCAATGATGTCAAATTACTGAAAAAACAACAAACAAAACAAAACCGAATAAGATGGGTCATGGGTGTCATTCAGATGAAGAATCTGTTCCTTGAAGCAGGACTGGCAGTGACTGAATGTTGATGGTACTGTTTTGGATGTGGAATAAATAGGACGTGCAAATGCTTTGACTTGTCTCTGCCTCTCCAGGTTCTCAAATTTCCTTCCAAATGAGATGGAACAAGGCTAAGTAAGATCCAACAGGGGAATCTTCCTTAATTTTGGGAATATCCTAAGACAGTTGCACATTTCTTCTACGACTACTGTTACTACTACTACTGCTACCACTACCATCACCACTACTGCTACTACTACTGCTACTCTGGAAAATTACAAGCCTATATCAGCCAATTTCTGCCATCCTCCTTCCCCACATTGTCTAGCAGGTAGTAGGCATGGGCCTTTGGAAATGAGCAAAATTATAGGAACTGAAGAAGTAAGAACAGAAAAATAACAAGTGGAATACAGCAGCAAATGAAGGAGTCATTTTATTAGAACATCAGCCAAGATATCTGCTTATTCCTTGAATTCAGTAAACAGATACCATAGATTGAATAAATACCTATAAATTCAAGTTTCACTATATTGAATTTCTGTGTCATAAGGAATAACTATCATTAAAGAACTAATGGACATTAAAACAAAATCCTATTATAAAATACTTTTAAAATTGAGATTAAAAACAGACATCAACACCAGCCCATGATTCCTTCTAAGACCACTCTTAAAGTTCAGAGGCAGAGTCCCTGCTGCCTTGAACAGCCTGCTGAGAGCAGAGCTCAATTTAAAAGCAAAGCTGGGAAGATGTGCTTTCCCATCTTGGATGGGAAAAACTCATTTTTTTTTTTTTTAAATCAATGACTGCATACAAACTGAAGGCAGGCAGTTGAGTTCCATGGATTCCCCTTTGATAATGCTTCCTGGTCTAAAGGATGCCCACCCATGGCAGAGTCTTGGCACTGTCAACAGACAAATCCATTGGTCATCACAGGAACAGAGCTGGCTGGATTATTAAACAGGGATGACCGAAGTTCCCTGATTTGCCATCATAAGGGAAGAGTCCCTACCCAAATCAGTAGGCCCTGCTCTATGACTTTTGCCTCGCAGGCTGCTAAGGTTTAACTTAAAGTAGAGTAGCAGCTTCCGGAACAAGGAAGGCCATCTTAGATTATTAGAGCCCACAGGGAAGGAAAAGTTATTCTGGTCAAAACTCCTCATTTTACAGTTAAAGGAAGCAGAGCCCCAAAGGACTAAGGTAGAAGGCATTCCACACCAAGGGGCAACTTCTAATTTTTTCTCTTTTAGCCAAGCTTTAAATCTTTAAGGCCAAAACTTACTACATTTAGCACAATGGCAATAGTACATAAAGTAACCTGAATGATTACTCAAAAAAATAAGTAAAATTAAAAGGCTACAATGCACAGAAGTCAGACTGCCTGGGTTCAGATTTTGGTTATACCACTTATTCAAGCAAGTCATTTCACCTCTCTGTGCTTCAATGTCCTTACTGGTAAAATGAGAATGATAACAGAATCTGCTTCAGAAGGTTGTATTAATAAGTGCAAAGCATTTATAACAGAAGTTGACATGTAACAGATACTCAGTAAATGTTAGTTTTGAGTATTAGCTAGAAGAAGAAAGCCCATTTCATAGAGGGTCAAACTGAAGTCCAGAGATGGGTAGACTTGCTTAGCATCACAGAAAATTGGTGTTTCCTGATCTTCCTTGGGCCCAGGTCCAAGGTTTAACACAGGAAGGGCTCAGGGATTGGGAAACACGGTGGGTCAGGACTCCTGTTTGAAGTCCTGCGGTGACTCTGAATAAGGTCTGTGCCTGGCCTCGTAAGATGGGACCAACATCAACACCCTGCTTTACATCCTGTGGTTACCTGAGATGCTGTTACTTATGTATATGTGAAGGTGACACAGGAAGCCTCTGTGCTATTTTTTTCCACATCTTGTGTTAAGTTAAACTAATTTAAAATAAAACAAATATTTATTGGACACCTACTGTGCCAGGCCTTACTCTAGGAGTGAGGATTCAGCAGAGAACAAGACAAAACGCCCCCCTGGAGGAGTCACAGCAAACAGAGTTCTTCCTCTTCCCTGGGCTCCGGAGTCCCGTAGCCCCCGTTTGAATCCTGGCTCTGCTGCTAGCTGAGGGCACCGGTGTCGCACGTGGCCCTGTGTAAAGGTAAGATCTGTTATTGTCGGCCTACCGGTTCTGAGCTCAGGTCCTCCCTCCTGGGAGCGATGTCCGATGGCCCAGGCTAGTCCTAGCACCTCCTGGGAGCCTACAGGCCCAGAGCTTCCCTCCCCATCTCCGGCCCCTGCCTGTGCCTCCGCCTCAGTCCTGACACCGGCCGGCCAGTCTGGTGATGGCCGTGTCGCCTCTCCCGGGAGCCTGACTGCTGGGCCAGGGCTCTGCCCCAGCGGCGCCAGCACAGGCGGGCCGGTACCGGACGGGAACAGCAGCGAGGGGCGCGGGCAGGCGGGTCCTTACCGTGGCGGCCGGGGGTGGGGGTGGGAACCACGACCGGAGCCTGAAGGTCCGCCTGTCCCCGGCCCGAGCGGTAGAACCTCAGGGCGGTGGAACCCGGTGTAACAGAGCCCCTTGTGCTCGCGCCCCTAGAACCCGGGGCGCTCGGCCCAGGAAGGAGGGCGGGCGGATCCCACCGGGCCGCCCGGGCCGGGCCCCCATGAACCACCAGGCGCGGGCCTCACACCCCTCCCCGGCCCGGACCCCCGCCTCGGTCCGGGCTTCGATCCCGGTCCGGCCCTCGAACCAGACTCCGGCCCCATCCTCGGCCCCAATCCGGACCTCGATTCCGGTCCCGGCCTCGACTGCAGTCCGAACCCCAACTCTGGTCCGGACTCCGATTCCGTTCCAGGCCGTGAGACCGGTCCGGACCTCGACTCAGTTCCCTGACTCGGTCCCGGTCCAGTTTCCGACTCCGGTCTCGGCCTCGAACCCGGTCCAGACACCAACTCGGGTCCCTGCCCCGGCCCCGGTCCGGACCTCGACTCAGTTCCCTGACTCGGTCCCGGTCCAGTTTCCGACTCCGGTCTCGGCCTCGAACCCGGTCCAGACACCAACTCGGGTCCCTGCCCCGGCCCCGGTCCGGACCTCGACTCGGTTCCCTGCCTCGGTCCCGGTCCAGTTTCCGACTCCAGTCCCGGCCTCTACCCCCGTCCGGACCTCGACTCCGGTCCCGGCCTCGACCCCGGTCCAGACACCAACTCGGGTCCCTGCCCCGGCCCAGGTCCGGACCTCGACTCCAGTCCCTGCCCCGATCCCGGTCCGAACCCGGACTCCGGTCCCTGCCTCGGCCCAGGTCCGGACCTCGACTCCGGCCCCGGCCTCGACTACGGTCCGAACCCCGACTCCGGTCCCTGCCCCGGTCCGAACCCCGACTCCGGTCCCTGCCTCGGCCCCGGTCCGAACCCCGACTCCAGTCCCTGCCTCGGCCCCGGTCCAGACCTCAGCTCGGCTCCCTGCCTCCGTCCGGACTTGGACTCCGGTCCCGGCCTCGACTACGGTCCGAACCCCGACTCTGGTCCGGACCCCCATTCCAGCCCGGGCCCTGAATGCGGTCCCGGTCTCGGCTGAGGTCCCGGACTTGGAGCCCTTCCAGCGCGCGGCTCCGCCTCCGGGTCCGCCCCCGCAGCCGGCTCCCGAGCGCCCTCTGCCGCGGGGTCAGGGTCCCGCAGCGCCGGGCGTGGGGCCCCGCCCCTCCGTCCCCGATGAGCCGGGGCCCGCCCGGGAGCTCCTGCCCGCTCTCCATCGGTCGGCCTCCGATTTATCCGGACCCACTCGCAGCTCCACCCCAACGGCCGATCCCGCGGCCGCCAAGCTGACAGATCCCATGGCCGGACCCATCTCCATGCCTGTCCTGGGGGCCGCCCGGCTCGCCACTTTCTTACCTATTTCTACCAACACATTCGCCTCCACCAGCGAGTACGTTCAAGTGGACAAAAGGATTGTGATTCGAGTGACCTATTGGTGAGGGGCTGTTCCCACCCACACCCGCCTCCCTCCCGGGGGAAGGGTGGGAAGGGTAAGTGCTGGGGCTTTGGGGATTGGAAGTAGGGCAAGGGGAGGGAGTCCCAGTTCCAGGTGGGAAACTTGGCTCCCCTATCAACTCTTTGGGGCTAGAGAGCACTGGGTTCAAATTCCTGCTCTGTCCCACAGAGGTGGATCCTGGCTCCAAGCTTCATTCATGGACTCAGTTTTCTCCCTCCTTCCCCCGCTTCCTCCTTCCCTCCCTCCCTCCCTCCCGCCCTTCCTTCCTAACTTATTTTGGAGTGTCCTGCCCACCAGGGGCCAGGCCTGAGCCGGGGATGGAGTGCTGAGCAGAGCCATCTGCTTTCCTCCCAGGGGAGACAGGACAAGGTGTGCCCTGAGGGACAAGGGGTGGGGAATTTCAGATTGGGTGGTCAGGGACAGTCTTTCTCAAGAGATGGCACTTGCGATGCATCTTCTCAGTGATGAGAAGGAGGCTGCCAAGTGGAGAGCTGGAGGTCGGAACGATGAAGGTAGGGAGGGGGAGGAAAGCAGCAAGTGCAAAGCCAGAGGAGGCTGGCCCCGGTCTGGAGTGTCTATTGCGTCAAGGACAACAGTAACAGCAGTGACTTCCTTGACCTTCCTGTGACCCAGGACTGGGTGCCTCTGTGGGAGGGGCTTTTCTTCCATTCAATCCCCATGCCTCTCTTCTGCCCTAGGGGTTCTCTCCCCTTATGGCTCCCACTTTTTCTCTCTTCTGTCTCTGCCAGGGGCTCTCTCTCCCCAGCTCACTGTCTCTTCTCCTTTCCCCATGTTGTATGTGTGTATTTCTCTTTCTCTTTCTCCCTATCTGTTTCCTCACCTCCCCCTGTCTCTTTCTCTTCCCATCTCCTCCTTTCTATATCTTTCTCTGACTCCATGGATTCATTATTTCATTCATTCAACAACCATTTATTAAGCACCTCCCATGTGCCAGACCCATTAGGGATACACAGTGAGTAAAACAGAGATTTTTGTCCTTGTGGTGCTAACATTTTGATGTGGAATAAGTATGACTCAGAGCAAATTATTTAATAACTTAGAAGGTGGTCAGTGCTATGAACAAAAAGCATCTGGGGTGGGGAGGTCACAATTTTAACTGGGGTGGTCAGGAAGGCATCACTGGGAAGGTGACATATGAGCAAAGACCTGAAGGAGGGGAGAGAAGGAACCATGTAGATACGAGAAACTGCATTCTGTAGAAGGAACAGCCAGCGCGAAGGCTCTGCACAAGGCGTGCCTGGAGTAGGAAGGAAGGCTAGGAGGTCCCTGTGGCTGGGGCAGAGTGGGCAAGGGGGGAGGGAGGAGACGGGGCAGAGAGACATAGGAGCAGTTCCTGTGGGACTTGGGGGATGTGGTTTTCTGCCCTGAATGGGATGGCGCTATGGGACAGTTCTGAGCTGGGGAAGGATGTGACCTGACTTAGGTGTTCACAGGGTCCCTCTGGACTTGGGGAGAGACTGATGTGGTGTCTTCTGTCTCTCTCTCTGCCTCTCTTTTTTTGCCCTTGGCCTTCAGTGGCCTCTGAAGCTATAACCT